CAATCAAATATCAAACCCCTCTTGGAGCAGGGGAAAAAGTACAGTGTATTTCAGAGATATTTCCATCAAATGTGCCACAAGTTGCAACCTAATTCTTCTTCAGCACCTTGGGGTGAAATTATTAAAAACAGCTATGGTTAGAAACCCCCATGAATCAGTTTAAAAACAACGTAAATAACGTTGTAATGGAGAAGTGTTCATGTTTTTCTTTGCATGAAAATGTAACTTACTGTTTATTATGAATGCATTTGTTAGGATTTGGCTGGTACCTGGGCAAGGTTAGGGTTAGGGTTAAAAATGTTTAAATAAAGTACCAATCCTGCAGAGCTGCACAACTGCAGCGTGCTTCTGCAGCCAACACTGCCAGTGTTTTTGTGTTTTTGTTCTTGAAGGATTTCTTTTAAAAGCACCATAGTGCGCTCGCTGTGCTGTCAGCACATAAGAGTAAAAAACTCGGCGTCCAATCTTCAGCTTTAAACCCGGATAAAAATGCCGACATTCAGCCAAATTAGAGCCTTTGCCACGACGCGGTTTGCGGTGCTTCTTAAATGATTAAATTACTGAATTTATTTAAAGGGGAACATTGTAGTGGGTCAAATTTCAACAACAGTAACACAGTAACCTACATGTTGAAGATACTCACCCTGGTTATTGAACATTCCGGACCGCAGCCGGTTGTTACTGCAGAAATTTTCCATCTGAAAGTTTCAGCCAGCGGCGGTTCTGACGGTCTCCGGTGGTTTTTGTCCGAATGAAGGCCGGTCTGTGAGCTGTCAGCGGGCACAGCTGTCCTCCGGCGGTCTGTGCGGGAGCAGCAGCAGGGACTATTCACACACTCCTCGACGTCGAGGTTCAAACTGACGAGCCGCCTGCCTGCTGGCTCCGTGACGTCAAGACGCAGGCTCTGCAGCTGCTGCGTCGGAATGAAAACAATCGCACGTGGAAGCGATGGGAGGACTGTCACGTGTACGGCCAAACTGCCATATAAATTATAGAGGAATTGGCGCTGTAATGTGTACCTAAATATGGCAGTTCGTTGTAATATAAACAAACATTGCTGTCATAAGAATGCCCTAAATTCCTCCATTAGTGTTTTCTCACAAGACATCACCAAAAAAAAAAAAAAACAACAGAAAACCAACAACATCCTTCATATTGCTTTATTGTCATGTCTCTAGAAAATGGACCAGAAAAAAATTGGTACGGATTTTCGTGCTGGTCCTCATACATCGAGGACTGAATATGCTACAGTTCAATAAATGAGTGAAAGCATGCTACTTATTACTTATTTACTTATTATGTTACTTATTTTATTTTATTTATATAAAAAAAAAATGTTAGAACTATAAATATACAGTCATATGTTTATATCACTATATTTTTAATGTATTTATTACTGTTTTCAAGGCTGCATTTTAAAAAATGAAATTGTGTAGAGCTGTTTTGATTTCTAATTTCTTTTTGTTTACACACGAGTATACAAAATGACAAAATAAATCTGTTTAAGTCTAACTAATGTTAAATATGAATGCAGCAATTTCATACTAGATTTAAGTTTGACGTTCTGATGTTAATTATTATAGTGTTGAAATGACCCATATTTGCACTTATATAATACAGGTTATTTAAATGAAATGAAGATAAAAATTACGTGGTATCCAAGTCATCATATACAGTGTTCACTCCCAATGGGAAAAATGTTGATTTCTGGAACTAGAAATAGAATTTCTGTTGATACATGCAGGACACTGGTTCCTGGAGTTAAATGTCCATTTGAATTGTTATGATGTTGTGGAAAATAAGAGCAGAGACTGACATCTGCTGGTCTGCTTCAACCCTTTCCTAGTTGGAAGTAGGAAAGATTAAAACGTCCCTTTTCCACTCAGCAGGTTGCACTCAAGCTTTAGTTGATAAACAAAGAACTGAAAGCTAGATGGTTCTACATGGCATCTCAGCCATTCCTAAAGCTACTATTCTTGACATACAGCAGGTCTAAGAGCTCAACTCTAGATTCGGCTCCAGCCTGTCCCCTAGTCTGTCTTTATAGCCCAGTTGCAGCAACAATAATTAGGCCTGCTTCACTAATGATCTTTTCCCTCTTTAAAGTACTTTGTATTTCTCAAGCTTCTATTTTTTTTTATCTTGTCATTGCTGCATCTGTTGCAAAAGCTTTGTCCACCATCACAACATCTAGTTGGTTAACAATTACCTGCATATTGGTCTAGAACCGGAAGTTCCCCCGAAGATTGGAGCCCTATTATTCTCCTCCACCCATTTTAACAGGGAAACATCTAGCCTATATTCCACAGAGATGTAATTGGTCATTCCCAAATGATTACTGCATTCCATGTAGCCTTGGACTATTTCAAGTAGGCAAAGCAAGTTTATCTATATATCACAATAAAAAAAAAAGAAAATTCGTAGAGCTTTGCATGAATTAAACAATGAAAGAAGGAAAATAAAAAAAGAATAAAAGCAACTAGAGGTAAAAACATGAATAAAAAAATAAAATGTTTGGAAAACAAACTTATATTGATTATACATCAGTTAACAGTTTAAGAGTAAAAGGCAGCTCTAAACAAAAGGGTTCTTAACTTTGACCTAAAAGCTCTCAGGTTTTCAGCACCTTTAAAGTCTTCTGGGAGTTTTTCCCGGATAAGTGGTGTATAGGAACTAAATACTACTTCTCCATGTTTGGTTCGACTCGAACTAGCAGACCTAAGTAGTCTGGGAGGTTGATACACCGATAACAAATTGTTATTTTTGATGTGCATATCCATTCAATGATATATAGACTAACAGAAGGATTTTAAAGCCCATTTTCTGAGCTACAAGGAGCAAGTGTAAGGACTTTAGAACCAGGTTGATGTGCTCTACTTTCTTAGTTCTATTGAGAACCCGGGCAGCAGAGTTTAGGATCAGCTGCAGCCGTCTGATGGACTTTTTAGGCAAACCTATGGAAACACTGTTGCAGTAATCAATTTTACTAAAGAAAATGCATGAAAGATAGATCCTGCTTGGACATTAGTCCTTAAATCCTAGAAATGTTCTTCAGCTTATAAAAGACTGACTTAGTCACTGCCTTTCTGAATCCATCATGACACCAGGATTTCGGCCTTATCACTGGTTTAATGAATTAATATGGCAGTCCGTTGTAATATATAAACAAACATTCCTGTCATAAGAATGCCTTAAATTCTTGCATTAATGTTTTCTTACAAGACATCACCAAAAAACTAATATATACTTAAAAACCAATACTGCTTTATAGTCATGTCTCTTTCGAAAATGCGAGAAAAAAACCTTGAGGACTGAATATGCTACAATTCAATCAATATACGAGTGAAAGCATGTTGTAACTAATGTTAAATATGAATGCAGTATACTAAAATTGCACTTGCTATTTAATTTTGAGGTTCCGGTGTTAGTTATTATAGTGTTAGTTGAAATCACCCATATTTGGACTTATATAATACAGGTTATTTAAATGAAATGAAGATAAAAAGGAATCACAGGGTTCTAGCTGTAGTAGCTGAAGCTGTGAGCTAACTCTGGTACATCTTTGCACATCCTGCAACTTGCTTGATGTCTTTGACCCATAGTTTCACTCTAGTCTACCAAAATGTTATTACAATATTGTATGCAAGACATTGTTTAAACTCTCTTATCAATAGAAGAAATGTAATAGTAAAAAAATAAATAAATAAACATAAGTTATTCTCTATTTGCATGTTCTGTTTATTTTGACAATTTATCAGACCTCCGAGATGGAAGGCCTCTTCATCATCACCATAATCTTTATCTCTCTCTGCAGATTCTCTAGAAGTCATGGACTGAAAATTGTCTTTCAATAAATAAATAAATAAATAAATACATGCTTGCGAGATAACTATATAACTAAATCTGCCAGTTGCATCAATAATTTAGAACTTGGATGTATTTTTTGTTGTATTTATATAACCTTCACATAAAGGTGGTTAGGAAATAACACCTGTTTAAATAACAGGTTTATAAGTGCACATTTCCCTGGACAAGAATTAAAACATCAAACAAAGATTTGTTTAAGCATAAATTTTATTTTCAGCTGTGACCAAACAAATAAAATAAAAGTAACCTCCTAAGAGTCCAAATGTTCAGGATTAAAGTGCAATATTGTTTTCACAGCTTGTGTAAAAAAAAAAAAAAACATTAAATAAAAGACAAAAGGAATTTTAAAATATCAAAATTGACAATGGAGACCTGGAAAATATAAATATGGTTCAGAACGAGATGACATCCTATACAACATGGTATTAACTCTGATGTTTAGTTCACTTGAATCAGGCTAACACTCACAATACATTAAAGGAAAAACTCAACAGGAAATCAGTTGGCAAGGCTAGCTTACAACAAAGGCACAGCATTGTTCAGAGGTAACGATCCTTTGCAAAGAAGAGCTGCGGCGACATTCTTGGTGATCAACACCCTCCTCACCGACATCCAACATGCTTAACATGGCTCAGACAGGAATGGTGAAGGAAACGCGGGGCCACTCCTGTATGCATGCCAGCTGAGTGAAGGGGTTTCACTGAGTGACAAGTGTTTACATGCTCCTCAAATTTCACGGTTACCAGTGGGTACTTATCAAGATGTGAGAAAAAGCTCTAAAAAAGACGGCCCTGAGCCCAAAAAGTTCGGGGTGTGGAAGAGGTGAAGTGTAAGTGCTCAGCTATCAGAGAGTGTTTGCAGCCTCCGTGGGCATTGAGCAGTCAGAAACAGCACAGAATACCGCTCACAAAGGACCAGTCTGTAGGCAGCAGGCAGAACTGGGTCATCACCGCCTCACAGTAGCAAAAATCAGGAACACTTTATCTCTTAGTTGCAACCAAGGCAAACCTTTTCCACGATTGGGACTGTACTGCATGGCTTACGTGATTTTAATTCAGTTTGACCTGCATCTAAATCATTTAAGAAGTCCATTTTGCTACTGAAAGGACAAACTTCCCAGATCCCTTTTTTTTATACAGTTAAAAGGCTCCATCAGTGGCTTGCATTCATATAATCAACCTGACAATATTCAATTTCCCTATCACAAGTAGCCCAAAAGAGAAAATTAAGAAAACGTGGCCTCGAGCGACCATTTAGTGCAAACAAAAGTACTCAAATGTGTACAAGAGTTTCAGAGAATAGATACAAGAGGACCGATTTTTTTTTTTAACTCTAATTTCTACTCGGCCCTGCTTCTCTTCTCTGGTCTTTTTTGTTTTGTTTTTATTTATAAAAAAAATGTTCAGATACTAAAGTAGCTTAGAGTAGAAGCAGAAGAAACCTTGCCACTACATCATGCAGCAAATTTAAAAGGAACTAAAAAGATTCTGACAGTGCTGGAGATCATTTTTGAGGAGACAGACACATACATATATATATATATACACACAGTGATATTTACAGAATATTTAGCATTAATATGTAAACAAACAGTAATGTTGATCCTCAGGAGGACAGACAGGAAAATGGACAGACGCCTTGTGAGAAAACTATTGTACAGTACATCAAATGTGAGAGAATGGATTTTAAGGTTTCTTTCCAGTATTAGGAAAAGAGATGACCAGAATGTGCATGATGCCTTTCAAACCTATTTTCACTCATTTAACCTTTCATAATTTTAAGGAATTATAAATCCCACAAATCAATGAGTTAAAATTTGATTACTTGATATAGACAAACTCAAATAGAGATTAAGTGAAGTTGGGAGAAAGAAGGAATATTTCCCCATTCTGAAGAGGAAAATCAACCAGATGACCCGTCCACCTTTGTGAAGGGAAACCTTTTTATACATACACTGGTGGTTTAGATTAAGTCAATATTAAATTTAAAGGTCCAGTCACAGGTCAAACATAAATCCAAATGGGATGTGTGGCAGGAGGTGAAAATTGATCTTAACAGAAGCTCAGGCTGCAAACTGAATGAGCTGGAGCTCGTGTGCAAAAAAAAAAAAAAAAAAAAAAAGTCATCAGAAAAGCTGGTAAAGACATGGTTCATTAGCAACAATCCTAATAAAATACATTTAAGTTTGTGGCTGTAACCAGACAAATTGCAAATAAGTTCAAAGTGTGAATACCCATCAAGGCACCGTAGCTTCAGTGATTGCAAAGTTGCAATTAAATTTGATTTAATTGCAAAATGATCCAATAGTAAATAATCTTTTTCTTAGAGGATTTTGGTTTGTTTTTAGGTGGTTTTAGAGGAATCAAAACCTTTAGCCCGACACAGTGGCGACAGACAATAAATCAACCAAAATATTTTTGCTGCGTCTTTTTACCTACAGCTACACCTCCAATCTCATTTTAACCGGTAGGCTCAATAAAAATATGACGATGTTACAGATGTATATAAAATATGTCTTTACATTTTACAATATTTAAAACATTTACAAAGCTTCCAGTTATGTACATATGTGACTGAGTGTTAATGGGATACGCTAGGAGGTCTCTAAACTGAGAAGACGTACCAATTTCAGAACGTGTACCCCATCAGTAATTCAGTGCTACAAAATAAACAGGAGCTCAAAATGCAGACTAGTGGTTCATGACTGAATTGGGTCAGAGGGGGCAGAGCGAAGCAGCATTTGACCTGACGGTATTATTTACAGCCATGCATTTGTCATACAGACATTTAAAGCTTAAAGTAGGTCTAAAAAAAGGGTTCTCAGATCAGTGGAGGACATTGCTATTTTTCTTTTTGCATTTCTTATAAGTTTAGTTCTTAGATCCGAAGCTAAAAGAAAAACCAAACACAGCCGTGTTCTCAAAGACAAACAATGTGCACAGCAGAGAAACAAAGTGATGCTGCTGAAGGTTTGCGGCTTTGTTTCATGCTGTATATGGAGTTACAGCGAGCACATTAGGTATTCTCTGGTGTGATCATTTTTGCTAAATCTACATGATTAAAGTGTAATTATAAATGTGTTTCTGATTGCATATGACATACTGTAACCCCAGACAGCTGCACTGAGGGTCTATGTGTGTGAGTGTGAGCTAGCGTCACACACTGGTGGCTTTTCAGATTCATATTTTCCCCCTGAGTCTGTTCTTTTGGCGTGAGCCATCTTAATCCAGCGTTATCTGCTTCAGTTGTGGAGGATCATTAGAAAGTGTCCTGCCACCTGTGGCGGGTAGGTCACTGGCTCCTAAGGGGCTAACCCCAACATCACCACGGCTCTGGCGGCGCTCTACTCCGGTTGCTCAGGATGGGTGTGCAGGCCGTTCTCAGGACGTGGGATGGTGTGCTGGCTCCAAAAGGCCTTTTGCAATTGGTCCAGTTCAGACATCAGTGGAAGACCAATGTCCAAGTGCATCTTTAGGTTCTCTAGCCACTCCTCCAGTTTAGAGAATGCAGGTCTGTGGAATTAAAGGATCACAGAGAAAAAACACTTAAGTCAATAACTAAAGCACTTTCCCTCCAAAACAACAGGTAACAATTGAATTGTGTAACTACAGTTTCACTCAGACATAGTTTTATTCTGAAAGTTCTGTTGCTGTAGATGTAATCACAAAGGATAAATAGCATAATTAAGAGATTTAAAAACCTAATTAATCTCAGAAGTATAGAACATAAAATCCAGAACCTTTTTTTTTTCTAAGCAAAAAAAAAAAAGAGGACAGAAGTTTTGCACCAGGACTTTCTGAACAGAAAGCTTTACTATGTATTGATAACAACACAAAGAATGACAACTAGAGGTTACAGATTTCAGCAGAATAAAACATTTCAGGACAGTTCAAGGGCAAATACACACAGCACAGCTCATGCTGCAGCGACAACGGACACCTCTAACAGAGTCAGCAGCCAGACCATCGAGGCAACTGTAGATTTTCTTTGTAAGCATAATGATTTAGTTTAAAATATGTTTGATCTAGGGCTGAAACAATTAATCGGATTAATTGTGATGAATCAATTATTGAAATAATCGTCAACTAATTTAGTAATCGATAAATCGTTAACAGGAGTAGAGGCTGTAAAACGCTTCTGTAGCTGACAGAGCAACCCACTTAGAGCAGTAATTATACCAAAATTGTAAAAAAAAAAAAAAAAAAAAAAAAATTATACAAAATTTTGCATTTAAGATAAAAAAAAAAAAAATCTTTTTGTTTGTCAATATGCTCTATCCTGCCTCATCAAGTGGGAAAGTTTTAGTTTCACCTGGTTTGATTTTGTAAAAAGTCTTCTGTAGGGAACCTTTGGCTGTCTGATTATTAATCGAAAAATAATCGACAGTTTAAACGATTTGCAAAATAATTGTTAGTTGCAGCACTAGTTACATCCATCCCATATCAGTAGAAAATCTGGGTTACCAGATAAAATCCACTTTCCTCTGCTGCTTCTCCTGTAAGTAAACCTATGATAACCTGATTAGCTGCAACTTTAGGATGATGTGTATATAACCATATTATCATCCCTCTGTCTTTCCTGTACTTGAAACCACTGGAGCCGCATTAGCTTTAAAGGCCTTTTTAGACCCAAAGAGCATTTTAATGAGAAAAAAAAAACTAACTTTAGAGGGACGCATCCTCTCAGGGTGTTTTAAGGCCTATAATGTTGCAATGCATTTAAAAGATCACTTAAACCTCTCTTGGGTAGAAAAATAGATATTCAGCTGCTTCCATTCACTTCTAATAACACATTCTCAGGGAGTAGAAGAAATGCTGACTATAGTGTGTGATAGGAAGACCATGCTGGTCCAGAATTTCTATTATTTGATTTTTTGTTTTAGCTAAATAAAAATTGCAATCAGTTATTCTAATTTGTGGTAAATTGTAGGTCAGAATGGATCACCAACCCACTGCAATCAGGTAATTCTGTTAAAATCATCCCTCACTGGACAAATCCCCAAACAAATCATTTTATTAATGATGGATTTTTTTCTCTCCACATGTATTACTTTTGAAATGAATAGAATATTTAGTGAGAGGTTTGAAAAAGAGGGATAAAAAGGTAGGCTTCCAATATAACACAAACCCAACGAATGAAAAGGCTTCAAAATGCGTTGGAATGAAAGTGTTAATATAATTTCACAGCAAGTTTTCAGGGAGATTTCTGACCTTTTGTCTGCATCGAGGTCACAGCATAGAGCAGCAATAGGAAAGAAGGCAGGAGGACAGTTGGGGGGATAGTAGTGCTCCAAGAAGCCAGAAATGTTCAGTCCAAAGTCCGTCGCCCTGGGGAGGTAATCTGGATCTGCGTTCACACGGCCAATGATCTAAGAGAGAAAAACAGAACATTTGAAAATGGAAGCGTCTGAAGCTCTTCTACTGGAAACTAGTAAATCCTTCAAACTAAAGCTGATTGCTCCCAGCAAACCATTACTGTTTTTGCTCCTCTGCTAACTAACACCCCCTCATGGTTGGTGGATAATAGTGTCCATCTGGAGAAGTCAGAGTCTGGGGCCTCTGACTGACTAAACTAAACCCATGAGGCCAAACTCTGAGCCTGAGGACGGCGGGTGTCCAGGCTCCAATCCAACAACTCAGCAGAGCTGCTGGAAAACTATATTCCCCTTTCAGAGATGTTGAAATTTGGCAGAGTGAAACTATTCCCTCATAAAATCAAGTGGATTTTATTTTTAATGAGTTTGAAATGCTGACAAAATCCATAAAAAGCTGTCAAAGCTGCAGAAAAAAGGAGAACTTGAACTAAATTCTCTGCCAGGCCTTATATTTTGCAGAGTCTAGTGTTGGACACCAACTTAAATGAGCTCATCTGCTAAACGCAGCCTGATTAGCCTCAGTCTGCTGGTGCCGCCCCTAATTACTGCATCCAGGGACAACCCTTCCTGTGTGATGAGAAGGACTGGCTTTCAGCTGTCCTGAGGCAGAGGTGGACCACAGTTTCTTGCAGGTTAAATTTTCTAAAGCAAAATAACTTTTCAACTTAAAAAAAAGGGACTCAGAAAGTCAGCAAAATGCTGCAGGACTGTCTGAACTGCCAGCCACTAATGCAGACAATTAAAGTGCTTCCAGCACATCCAGTTTTATTTGCTCGGTGTTGCTTCGATCCGTTTAAAGCCTAAATTTGAGACCTTCTGGTAACTAAAGCAGGGTTTATTGCAAGGCTGTCTCAATCTAAAGCATTATAAATGGTCCGTCTCTTTGATTAAATGCTATCAAAACCTGTATTGATCTATGCACTGTTCTTTTACCCCAAACTTAAAAATCAACACCTGTAGGCAGCTTTTTTAAACCTAGTAAACATGGGTTTAGATTTTAAGAGCGGCAGCAGCATTATGTCTGACTGTGTTAGCCAGATGATTGTGCATGATAACAGAGAGCAGCTGAAACATCCGTGATAAAATGTATAACATTACAGCAATTCTTTATTTTTATGAGGCAGAAGAACAACTTTTGCATGCATATGATTAATAGCAACTTCAATTCAATTCTTTGCAAGACGACTTATTAACTCAGCCCAAAACAAGGAGAGACCATGCTAACATTAATTGCCAGGTTGCTAATTGATTTTTTTTTTTTTTTGAGCATGTATTTTTTTTGTCCCTTTCTCATTTTGAACCTTTGCAAGGTGCTTTTTTTCCAGATTTTTTTTTTACTAATGTAGGAAAAAACCTTACCCATTGATTCAAATAAAGTCTATTATTGGATGAAGCTTTAAAGGGTAAATGGTCCATTGATTAGAAAGAAGTATTGGACTTGAGGCTGGTCAGCAGCAGATAAATTGGCGATCTAACCAAAGGAATACAGCTTTACTAATATTTTGCTAAAGCCTGAAGGCCTGGAGCTGAATGCATATTAGACCCTTTATTTGTAAAGTATATTATAACTGATGGATGGCAGAAAAGGTTTTAAACAGTTACTTACCTCGCAGAGCATAATACCAAAGGAAAATATGTCCACTCTCTCATCATAGCTTTTTCCTGAAAGGACATAAAACAAACATTGTTATACACTGGGAGAAAAGGGTAATTAAATAGTCATTATTATTTAGATTACATGTGCAAACGACCGCATATGTTCCTGTGTTGCATACCGTGGATCATCTCAGGAGCCATCCAGTAGGGGTTCCCCACCACCGTGTACCTCTTCCTGCGGTCAGGCTTCTTCAAGCCCGAGAGTTTTCCCTGCGTCAGCTTATTTTCACAGATATCGTCCACCATGAGCCGAGCAAGGCCAAAGTCTGCCACCACCACAGTGTGATCCTTAATAAGTAGAAAGAAAAAAAATATCGGCTCAGATCTAAGCTTAATAATACAATGCTTCTTTTTTTTTCTTATTGAAAAGATACATTTCTATTTTTTTATATAACTTCACTTAATCCCGCCGGCATATTTTATGTACCTACCACAAAGTCTAAAAATGGAGGTATGTTATTACAAACAAGTGAATAGAAAAATGTCATTACCTCTCGGACTAGGCAGTTGTGCGAGTTTAGGTCCCGGTGGATTATGTTCATTGAATGCAGATATGCCTGAGCAACAGATAACACAAGGATGAGTTAAAGAAATCAAATACATGCCTTAAAGCAGATTCAAAAATTAAAGTTGAACTCAAAGAAAAGCTGGAGTTAGCATGTTTTTATAACACTTAAAGCAGTTTTTATGCCATGCTTGTAGTTCTCTTAGCTAGCCACTAGAGGGAGGCAGTGGTGCTTATGGAGCTTCAGCTGTTTTTGAACTCACCATTCCAGCAGCAATGTCCTTCCCGAAACTGACCCGCTGGTTCCAAGGAAAGTTACTGTCCTGCAAGCAGGAATTCAACTTTAGTTGCAGCAGATCTTTTTTTTCAGGTTCTGCCATTTAACCGATTTATATCATTATAAATTTATCATACGTACCATCTTCTTTATAATTTCCCTCAAGGTTCCTCCCTTTATGTACTCGGCAATGAAGTTGAGCCTCTTATCTTTGTAGAGGACTCCAATGAACTTCAGCACATTAGGGTGTTCCAGACAGCGCATTACCTTCACCTGTTGACAGATAATACAGTGTCACCTCATCTTTAGCAAAGGTCAAAGGGGCGATTTAACAAAAAGAAAAGAAATAAAAAATAATCAAATGTATTTTAATTGATTTAAGATGCTACAAATGGTGCAAACCACAACCTTTCCAGACTGGAGGTTGTAACTCTAGGGCTACAATTACGCCCAAACCCCTGATTTCTTGCAGCAAGTAAAATTAAAAGAGACCGGTTAATGTGAGACTCGGGCAAAATTAGAAAGTAAGGATCAACCAAAACCTACAGACACATGCATAAATACACGGCACCAAAGAAACACTCGCAAACAGATGTTTGAGGATGAAATGGTGCCAAGAAGGGCCGATTCAGATCTCAGGGAGTCTGTGATCTGTTTAGGTGGGACTGATGTAACCTGATTATTGCCTCCGAGACCTGAATGTCTGTCTGGTATTCAAATAAACACACTAGAAGCTTACAAGTGGTTACAGGCTTAAACTTTGTCATCTCATAACCTTAGTAGATCTATCAGGATTTTTTGGAGAAGTGCATTATTGTGATGTGGAAGAGAGCCTTAAAATTGTGTTGTACACATTAATAGGATAGCCATTAATACAATACAGTGCAAACACCTGTCGCGCTGGAATGCAAAATATTTTGCTGAAGAAGTTACTCTGGAAGTGATGCAGAGATTTGGAGCTTAGGTCAGAGAAACTGCTGATAAACTTTTGCTGATCTGGTCTTAATGGAAAAGCGATGCTGGCTGCATCATTAGAGCCACATTTAGATTCATTTTAACAAAATTCCTTTATGGACTGGTCCAAGCATAGATCTAAATAGAATAGAAATTCAAAGTGTGAAATTTTGTGAGTTAAATAGAAATTCATTATAATTTCATTTTAGATGAATAATTAATAAAAATAACTTCTTTCAAAACCATGGATACTCTGCTTCTATGTTTCTATGAAAGACATTTAAAAGTCAGCAACATTTAAAATCCAAAAAGCCATTTTGCCCTAAATCCAACAAAATTAAAATCGTTTAGAGCTTCAAATATTACATGACCTTTTAATGAAACGTCGCTTATTGTTTTTATTAAATATCTGCTGTAAAAAATCTGTTTCCATTTTTAACAACCAAATGTTTATTTGTTCTGTTAGCTTTTAAAACAAGGGAAGGGTTGGTGTTCTCAAATAGGATTTTATTTGATATATTAAAAAATAATAATAATAAATGAAAAAAGAAAAAAAACAATATCTGAACTAATCACATATTTCTGGTACTTTTAATGTCATTGTGTTTTTTCCTTTAAAAAAAACTACTAAAGCTTCTAGGTTGGGATTTGTTTTTAAACTGTATTCGGAACCATTAGTTGGCTTATTTATCATTTTTAGCCAGAGGTAGCACAGATCTGTTCTATGAGCTTTCTATAGAGTGACCTGATGGAATCCAAGCAAAATAAACTGAACTTTGCTGCAAGGAGAATAACTTCAAAGACTGCATTTCTAAGGATTAATCAAAGGTACGCTAGAGGCCCATTGGATGAAAAGGACCAATAAGTTCTACAGAAGTCCAGATCTTTGTCCTTAGCCGTCTTCAAACATGAATGTGCAGTCTGAGGAGGCATTAAGCCTTATGTGGGAGAGAATGATTGATCATTTTTGGGAGGATCATTTTCCTGCGCCCTGTCAGAGGTTATGCAATCTGTCACTTACTCCTTCAGTGGTTGCAGAGCATATTCTGGTTCTGATCAGCTCCTGGTGACACATGTAGCTTCCTAACATAACCAGGGCAGCTGGTTTATGACTGTCCCCTAACAGACAGCAGTTAGCTTTACTAACATCTGAGCACCAGCTGTATGACACACTAAAGGATTGTGCACCAATTTGCTGTGAACAAACACTTCTACAGTAAAACCTCTAATGATAAAGTTGAGGAATTGGCAGGAAGATGTGAACTCGCCTCTTTCAGGAAGGTTCTCTGCGTCTCGTCATCAAAGCGAATCAGCTCTTTCATCACCATCACCTCCCCCGTTTCTTTGTGGGTCACCTATAACACAACAAAGTTATGCAAAGATGGATATGAGCAACAAGCTGGGAGAGAATTATGATTCAACATGAACTGTAAAGAGTCCCTTTCTCTGTATGACAAAAAACAAAAAACGCCCCACCATGTGTTAAAACATGAATTCCTTCTCTTAGATTGTATCTCACTTCTTCAAATGCTGCCATCTTCTGGAGGCTCTTAGCATGAACAGAATTTTAAGATTTATGCCACGCATGAACAGGATTACCTTTATGGCCTGTCCAAAGCAGCCTTTTCCGAGGACTTCTCCGTGGATGAGGTCGGACGGGCGGAAGATGCGGTGAGTTCGATTGGAGACGACCCTAAGCGACTCGGACCGATTAATATCCTTCCTGTGTGAGACTGGCGACGCTGCGTTGCTGGAGCCAGGTGACTTATCAATACTGCAGCTCCGCCTGACAAAGAGAGGGGAGAGAAAAAGATGAGGATCTCATTACAGCCCAACGTATAATCTTATAATAATAAAAAATAACTGCTTCTTACGTGATAATGCGTGACTTCAGGTTGCTGATGTCAGGGTTGGGGGGCTGGGTGATTGGAAGGGTTGGGCTGGGGCCGTCCGACACCGGGGTGAACAGGCAGCCATCCACCTGGTCCTCCGAGGAGGCCCCCCCCTGACCATGAGGGTCGCGTTCAATAGTGAGCTGCAGCAGCCGGCTGGTCTCCTGGATGAGCAGGTCGATCTGTGGAAGAGGAAGAGATTCATGTCCATTTGACAAAACTCACAAAAATGGATGGCGATGTAAAGGAAAAAAGTTTAAATCCTTTTAAACTTCAACAGTTTTTGACTCTCTGGTAGCATTTATTGCTTTTGTCCCCTGAATCAGCTGGTTGTAAAAAAAATTGGTTTCTACCTCATCCAAAGGAACATTGTGAATGGGCGTTCCATTGATTTCTAGGATCTTGTCCCCAACATGAATGGAGTTCTTCACATCTGGACTGATGCAGTCAGGATCCACCCTGGATGGGAGAAAAAA